TGGTCCTCGACACTTAGTCCCGCCGGCGGTCCCCGACACATTTCGCCCCGGATGCCACTATTTTTACTTAGTCCCACGTGGCCACGGGTGCCTTTACTCGAGGTATCCCACGTCCCTTGGGCGTTTTGCCGCCCCATGGTGACCCCTCTCCCTTGTCTTTTCTTGCGCCTTGCACGCGCCGGTTCCTTGGTCACGGGCCTCTACCCTGAGGCTCCCGTAGGTGGCCCCCATGTTGACCCCTCGTTCTCTATCTTCCCACGGCCTCTGGGCTGCCCATCCCTTGACTCCTTCACTCCTTTATCGTTGTCGTGCTACATTTGCTGGTTCAAGGGCCCTTTGGCCTTAGTCTTATTGCATTCCAACGATCCTCCCGGCCTCATGCTATGTTCTATGTGCCCCTATTCTTGCGCTCGCTTGCTTGCCGTTGCTAGTTCTTTCCTCCTGTGGTTCTCACCCCAGGGCATCACTCCTTCCTGCGGCCTAATCCTTTGTCTTTTCTCTCTCATGCCTCCTTACTACATATTTCTCTGTTGTGCATAGTTTGCCCATATTCAGTCTCTCGAGTGATGGGAAGTTATTCGGGACTCACCAGTCCCGACACATTCCCCCCACTCATTTGCGATGTCCTCATCGCGCACCAATCTCTTGTCAATGGGTTTTGGAGGGATACACGGGAGAGGAGGAGGAAATGTTATGGGTATTTAGTTTGCCAGGGTCCATTTTGTCTTTTCTTGCTCCTTTCTCGGTTTTCTTCTAGTTTCCGGCCTTGGAACGGGGAGGGGTGTATAGGGTCAAGCTTTCTTTGTCCTTTAGGCTTTTCACGTCTCATTCATCCCTTATAGAACATCAAACCTCTTTCGTCTCATTCATCACTCTTAAAACATCAAACCCCTTTCGTCTCATTCATCACTCTTAAAATATCAAACCCCCTTCCGTTGTGCTCATCACCCTCAGAACATCTATCCTCCTTCCAGTTTTCCTCCTTTCGTTGCCCCCACTTCTCCCTCGGGCCTTGCCATTTCAAACGCCCTTTGGTTGATCCTTCTTTCATCCCATGCCAACTAGGCCCCTTTTTCGGCTTTCGTCACCTTTAATGCCTTTTCTACTTGGCTCTTCGGCCCGTGCAATCCACGCCTTTTGTCACCCTTTCCTCAACCTCATGCTTGGCCAAATTCACATGTATTTTTCCCATGTTTTTTTGCCCAGTTTTCTCTAGCCCTGCCAATTTCGCACGCATGTCACCCCCATTCTCAAAATTCGCATTACTTAGTTTATTCCATTCGCATCTTTCTTCTGGCATCTCACTAGGCCTTGCTCAAACTCATGCAAAGTCCATTACACATATATCACTTTTCAGGGCGTCTTGCCAGTCCTTTCCTTAAGCCTATGCAAACCCAATTACCCATGCCTTTCTCTTCTGAATGTCTTGCCAGACCTTCTCTCAAGCCTGCGCAAGGTCAATTACTCATCCATTTCTTTCTTTTGGACATCTTGCCAGACCTTTTCTCAAGCCTGTGCAAAGTCAATTACTCATTCATTTCTTTCTTCTGGACATCTTGCCAGACTTTTTCTCAAGCCTGCGCAAAGTCAATTATACAAGTATTTTACTTCTGGATATCTTGTCAGGCCTTTTCTCAAGCCTGCACAAAGTCAATTACACAATTATTTTTCTTCTGGACATCTTGCCAGGCCTTTTTTTGAGCCTGCGCCCTCATGGTCACCTTCTCTTTCGCACGCATTTTCATCGGTAGATGGCACACCTTCCCCGCATTCAAAATGTGATGTCCCCATGGCACGATCAGTTCTCACTCGGAGGTACGCAGACCTTGGCCCACCAACTGAGTAGACTGATGCCGGCCCATCAGCCCCAAAACGGAAGGGTGATCAGTCCTCCCCCTGCTGATAACTCACCTCATCCCCTACTCCAGTCCGACCTTTTGCCGCTTACGAGACGGGCGTCATCATTGAGGTACCACCCCACATCTGGTAGGTAGGTCCAGTCCAAACCTCCCAGGACCCCGTCTTGTCGTAGGGCATTCTCGCGAATCGTTCCTCCCGAGTGGTGTTTTCTTGGATCCGGCCTCTTCCTTTCAAGAGAGTCGGGACTCTCAATTAGTTAGCGAGTGCAGTTACGAAGACCTCGCGGTTAGTCCTAGAACGGTTGTAATGATCCGGCAGGGCGGTGTCACTCGCCCTGTGGTGGTTGCGGCTTCCACTCGGTACCACGCCTGACTCCTCCCTCTGGACAGTGCTGCTCAACTTAACGCGAGTTGTCGTGGTCCATTCCAAATGGTCGTGCCGCCCCTCTACGGCATGGCGTGTGGTTGGGGAGAAAAAATGAGACTTAGGAAAAAGAATGGCTCTCTCGCCCGTTTGGCTCCACGCCCTTTACGTTTAGGTTCTCAACATGAGGCGCAGTTTGAACTCCCCGACTAGAGCTCGTTGTCGGGGTAAGTTCCGGACGGCCAACATCAATCAAAGAGAGAGGTGCTTTGGTCCTTCAACGCTTATTCCTTCTTATGAGGAGCAGGTCGCGCTGAGACTTGCCCTTGATGGTAGAGGGCATGGGGTTGCGATGCATGCACCGCTATCCCCCTTATGTTGAGACCCGAGACTCGCAGAAAAGGAAAACTCAATCTCTTGCTATTTCCATGGTCGGCCCGACGACCTTACATCAAGTTGCCTAGGGTCCCTTGACTATGCAATGCAATATCTAATTTTCAAATACTCCATCCTATGCTATTTCCAAGGCTGATTCTCATGGCTGGTCCGACAGCCTCTCATCAATCAAGGCCACCCCTTGTGGCCGCTCTGGCGGCCGCTTTCTTAATAGCCATCCTCACAAGGGCCGACCCGTCGGCCCACCTTCAATCCTCATCTTTCACATCCCCCAATATCCATTCCTTATGACCGTTTCTGGTCCATGCTTCTCTTGTCTTAAGGTTCAGCCTTCTTTATTCTGCCCTTCTCATTCTCATTCGTTCATTCTTATGGCTATCTCAATGACCGACCCACCGGCCTTTTCCATCTCTTTCATCCATCCCATTGGCTATTTCAATGACCGACCCACCGGCCTCTTCCATCTCTTTCATCCATTCCATTGGCTATTTCAATGACCGACCCACCGGTCTTTTACATCTCTTTCATCCATTCCATCTCATTCTCAATCATCCTTTCTCAATCAACCTTTCTCAATCAATTATGTAGGGGACCCTAGTGCCTATTTCAAAAGGAATGACCCTTGTCATGGGCCATTCCTGAACAACCTGGTTAGGGTTGTTCTTTTCCATTCTCAAGTCGAACAGCCTGGTTAGGGCCATTCCTTTCCATTCTCAAGTCGAACAGCCTGATTTGGGCAATTCCTTTCCGTTCTCAAGTCGAACAGATTGGTTAGGGTCATTCCTTTCCATTCTCAAGTCGGACAGCTTGGTTAGGGCCATTCCTTTCCATTCTCAATGTTAGTGCCCGAGGGGGTGGGCCTCGAGGTCACGGATCCCATTTCTGTCCCCGAGGTTAGAAGAAGGTCATCTCATCTCAGTTTTTAGCGTGTTGTTCCCTTCATCCATCCTCAAGGCAATGTATTATGCATGCCTACATCCGACTTAGCGTCTAGTACTCGAGTTGGGACTTGCGATCCCAAGCAGCACTAGCTCACCCGGCCGTTCAACCATAGCAAGAGACAGGGGCGCCCCTTTTTATTTTCACTCGTTACGATGGCTCAGATCTCGGTTATTATTAGACTCATTCATGACTCAGTTGGATTAGGCTCCTAGGGAAGGAGTGTTTTTCACGCCCCTTAACCCATAGGTTCCCTAACCTCTCTTGTGCTCGACCAACATTCAATGCCATGGTTCGCTCGTCAATCTGTACTCAAGGTTTGTCTTCTCAAAGCACGACCCTCATTCCATCCAAAATCCATTATACACCCTTCCCAACCGTTCTCATCCCATGCCCCATGTCCTTGTCTTATGCACCCACTTTCGAAGGTAGCTCATCCAGAAAGTAGCCTCAAAATGTTATCTTCTACTTATCGTGACACAGTCTTAGCTGACCCTCTTATCACTTCATCCTTAGCAAGCTTACTCATACTATACACGTTCTTGTCGTTCCCGTGTCTTTGCAAATAGAAAAGCAAGAATCATGTTCAATGCTAAATCAACATCTAGTTCCTATTGCTGCCTTGTGCCTCAGCTTGCTCGATTCCTTGTCCACCCTGTTCCTTGGTGAGCTTTCTAACCCCCAGGCGGAAGGTCTCAATTTCTCTCCCTTTTCTTGCAATCTCCTGTAATTCCTCCTCACTAAAAAAGTCCAACGGCGTGGCTTCCRCCCCTGCCTTTGCGAGTTCCCGGGTCTTGATGATCCACTCGTGCCTGATCACATTGGTCCATTGCTGAAACCAATGACTGGGCGTTGGCCCAAACTCATCCTCCCATCTGAAGGCCTCATCGCGCGGCTGGTGCATTAGAGGCCGCCTCTCTTCCCTAGGCCTCGAGATCTCATCCGTTTCATCCCCGCTGTTGATCTCTATCTTGTACATCCTCCTCCTCATCATCCTTGTCCTCCCCCCCGTTAGGTTCTTCGGATCGTAGGTATAAGGAATGTTTGTCCTTGTCCGATACCCCTCACAACTGCCATGGTCGCTTGTCCTTCAAGCGGGCTTACTCTCCTCTCCTCCCCATCCTCACGCTCGTCGTGCATGTCTTGTCCCCCCTCGCTTTCCCCATGTCAAGTCTCACGTCGTTCGCCCCTGTTGGCTGCTTCCTTGTCAGAGGCCTGAGCCTTATCTCCCATATCTGCATTGCCCCCTTCTCCCACATTTGCCCTTTCCTTCTCGCCCTCACTGTCAGATGAGATTTTTATACCTTCTCCCTTGTGGAGGGGCGAGGGTCTTCTACATACGCACTTCTTTCCACCCCTGCCTACCACCGGCCTGCCCATGAGCCCTATGTACAACTTTCTCTTCGTTGTCCTCCTCCTTTGGCTTGGTCCTGCTTCGTCCCCTCCAGTAGGCCTGTTGATTGCCCCACTGTCATTCTCGTTGCCGAATTCCATTCTTGCTTTTTCTCGTTTTTCTTCTAAGTCCTGTATAACAAAACAACATCCGCAATGCCCCTCATACACCCGTTCCCCCAGTCCGGTAGACAGCTCCCCTTTCCCAAGAATGTTCCCAGTGTCCTTCGCATCATGCCTCTTTTATACATTTCCCTCCCTTATGCAAATGCGCCGTTTGTGAAGATCCCATTATTTCCCCTTCAAAAATTATGATACAATGTCCCAACAATCCTTCCCGCGTCGCACAAACCCGTTACCGCAAATTCCCAAGTCACCCTGCATTTCAACCTCAGTCAATCCAACCCATTGTCCCAGCCCCAGAAAAAAAATGACAGTCCCACGAGCGCAGTCAGTGATTGAACCATAGCGTGGTCATGGCCGTTGTCAGTCCTTAACCTATTGCCCCTCGATTTCCTTATCCTCGGCCTCCTGAAGCCATTGTTCCACTGGGTCTCGACTTAGAAACCAGACCAATCGTTGCCCGGGGAAAGGTCCTTTCAATCCAGTTCCATCCAAATCTTCCAGTTCGAAGGTGTTCAGCCCCACCCGATAGGGGCCTTTGAACCTCCTCCCCAGCTGTCCAGACCAAGTACTTTCTTGTGTCGAATTCCTTAGCAATACCATCTCCCCCACTTGAAGTGGCTCCTTTGTGACATTCTTAACCTGGTCCCACCTTGCTTTGTCGCTCATCCTGCTGTCCAGTACCCGGTTGGCGATGTCTTCCATGACCTCTTCGTTCTTGAGGACCTGTTGACACCTTGCCTCGATTAACTCCTCCGTGGTCATTCGCGGATCATCCTCTAACCTGTTCCAGGTAGGTATCAAGGCTTCCACGGGAAAGTCGATCTCCCTCCCGTACCAAAGTTCCGTCGGGATACATCCCGTTGTCCTCTTAGGTGTCATGTTCTCTGAGAAGACAACCTGCTTGAGATACCTCGGCCAGCTTCCCAGATGATCCGCTGCGAGCTTCGCAATCGTGTTCTTTAAGGTTCGGTGGCCTTTTTCCACAGGTGCATTGGCCTCTGGGTGATACGGCTCGATGAGTTTGATCGGTACGCAGAGTCTCTTAAGCATTCCCAATACTTCTTGGTTCACAAATTCCGTCCCATTGTCTGCTATAAATCTTCTGACGAAAGGGTGCCTCAAGTAGAAGTCTTTCATCTAGTCCGCTACACTCCTCCCTGTCTTTCTCTTGAGAGCGACCGCCTCCACGAACCCACTCAAGTTGTCTCGCGCATCTAGAATATACGTGTACCCATCTGTTGATACAGGCATGACCGCAAGGTCAAGGTGGACCAGATGTCTCGGCCCTAGCACCCGCGTAGGTCTAAGCGGCTCAAAGACCCGTGTCGAGCTTCGTTCTTGGCAGATAAGGCATGTCTGGCAGTATATGGCGACCATGCTTGCCATGCCTGACCAATAATAAAGTGGCGTTATCTTTGCGAGAGTCCCTTTGGACGACCGATGGCCTCCTGCTAATCTGTCGTGCATTGCCTGGATAACATCTAACTGCCTAGATCTTCCGCACACAACTCTTCTAGGCGTAGCATCTTTTTCTCTTCGGAACAGATGGCCGCCCTTTAGGACGCACCTTTCGGCCTCCTGCCTTGCTTTATTGCTGACTTCCGTGGGTTGGTTGTTTCCCACCATCAACAACCCGATTTCTCGAACGATCCCTTTGTATATCTGGGCATAGAAAACCTCCTTCCTTTCGTGGTCCTCATCCTTTCTCTCCTGCATCTGGTTTACCATCCACTGCAACTCTTTTTTTTCCCAAGATTCCACTAAGCTTATTACGGCTTCCCGGCCTCCCTCAACCGCCATTGCTATTAGCTCCTCCTTTGGTCCTACTATTGCTCCCAATATATCTCTCTCCTCTTTATGACCTCGAGTGGTGACGGGTCCTTCCCTAAGCTCTGGTACTACGGCACGCGCCCCCTTCTCCAAAGTCTGGATCAACAGTTCTCCCGACGCGCATTCTTCGCCCATCATTTCGTTGTCCACCGCAAGAGTTCCTCCCTCGAATTCAAGGAACGCGTTTATGGGCTCCGCATCCTCCACCCCTTCGGTAGTGATGCAGATCCAACGCAACCCATCCTCCTTGTTTCTAATTTCAACAATCCGTTCGATCTTGTAATCGAACTGCCAGATAAATTTTACCCATCTTCCCACCGTCGGAGCTATAGGCCTGTAGTTCTTTAAGGCCCCTTCGACATTCGTCGAATCGATCCTTAAGATGAATCGCCTCCCAAATAGGTAGGCCTGGAAGGTCTTGAGGCAATGTAAGATGGCTAAGACCTCCTTTTTGAATTGCGAGTACCGCCGTTCTGCGGAGTTCAGGGTTCTACTTTCGAACCTAATCGGTCTCTCTCTGCGTTCCTCATCCCGTTGATCAGCATGCCTCCTACGGCCAAGGGTCCTCCATCTGTTTCTAGGATGAATGGTCGCCCCACTTCGTCATTAAAACAAGGGGCTGACAAGGCGACTTGCTCAGATATCAATATGTCCTTAAGGGTCTGGACTGCTCCTTCTCGCTCCTCCGTCCAATCCATGGTTCCCTCTTCTCTGGTCATGGCCCGGATAGGTTCGACAATCTTGGCAAAATTCTTAATGAAAATCCTCCAAAATCCGACCACGCCTAGGAACGTTCTAACCTCCGTTGTCTTGTGCAGGGGCGTTGGCCATTGCGATATCTTGTCCGTCTTCGCCGGATCCGGCTTCCTACCGTACGCGCCACAGCGAAATCCCAATATGGTTACTTCCGGAACTGCTAGAATCAACGGAGTAAGTCCTTGATGTCTTGTAGATGGTCCCACACAAACCTTCGGATTCCCGGTTGGACTTCCGTCTCGTTCTTTTCCTGCGCGCCTTCGATCGGATTATCGTCGATGTAGGGCTCACACTTCTCTGGAAACATATCTCCGGCTACGGCGAGCATCCTCCTTTGCGCTTCGGCTACCGCGTTCGTAAAGCCCATAGGGGTTACCTGCATCCGCAACTGGCCTACAGGGGTGTGCATTGCAGTGTACCGCCTATCCCTGTCATCCAATGGAAGCTGGTCGTACCCTGAGTACAGATCGATCAGGGAGTAAATGCTCCGGCCGGCGTGCGATTCTGCTAACAAATCAGCTTGAGGTAGCGAGCCAGCATCCCGGATGGTTACCGCATTCAACTTCTGCAAATCCTGAATTCACCTTAGTGTTTTGTTGGGCTTCTGAAAGACGAACCACCGGTTTGCGTAAGGCGACGCCGTAGGTTCTGCGACGAAGGAGTCCATCTTTGCTCCTCGAAGGTCTGTCACTTCCCCTGCTATCCCAAGCTCATAGGACGGACCCTTGTCGTTCCAGCACTCGTGCTCTACTGTGTGGATTCTGACCGGAGGGATCAGCTTCGCATCCAACCGCCCCTTTTGACGATCACTAAAAGCAAATGCCAGGTGAAACTCCTGGCATGTCCTTTTGATTAGGCGATCTTCCTCCTCCGTTAGGAATCCTTCTACCCCTATCTTCATTGTGTCAGCTACCTCATCTGGTATCCGATGCCCTTCCGTCGCTCTTCTCTCTTGGATCACTCGGAGGACCTCCTCCTTTTCCATAGCCACTTCCTTTGATGTCTCTAGCAGGATCGAGACCGATTTTGCTTTCTTCCCTACCGGCTTGTACTTTCGAACAACTTTCTTCCGGGATCTTTCTCCTAAGAAATGAACGGCCGGAATTGCCCTCGTTGCTTCTACGACTCGTGGTTGAATACTAACTAATTTCCCATTCAGACAATATCCTTTTTGCACCTCTCCTTCGAATTTGGCCAGGGTCGCCGAGTCTACTCCTACCTTGTGGTACCTGAGGGTCTTGATGAGCTGCAACAAATTGGGGATCTCGAGCGCGATTTCTGGCACGTCCATGCGTACTTCTTTCCGCTTGGGCAGGCTGGCACCAAGTTCGACTTCCGACTCCTTTTTTGCTACCATAACTCCTAGGACTTCGTCCTCCTGCCTTTTCTTCTTCTGGGGCAGGCCCATCTTGATTCATTCCTTCTTATTGAAGGCCTCCTCGATCATGATCTCTGCCCTCTCTCTCATGCCCTCCATTTGAGCAAAGGCCCCTTTTCGTGTGCTATCTTCGAACGACGGCGACCGTGTTGTTAATTTCCCCTTCGGGGGGTCTCCTCCCGTTCCAAGGAGTCGGAGGAGCTCTCCCCGGACGGTCACTGGGTCCTTTATGTCTACCATGTACGAGCCGTCCTGTAAGTGCATGGCTATCATTTCTACGTTTGCGCACCACGGTCTGCCGAGGATTATGTCGTGGTCCATTTCCTCCATTACGGTCAACCGCTGAAACGACCAATTCGACTCCTTGACTCCTGCCTTTACTGCGCACTTCATGACGTACCCAGCGAACGGGATTTCCTCGCCAGCTCCCCGGATGCTCCCTGTTACTTCCTTGTTTACCGTACAACCCGTGATTGTTGCGAAATCTCTCCTTGTGAGGGTGATTTCTGCTCCCCCGTGTACTAATGCGTCGGTATGACGAGTCCCGATCTGGACTTTCAGCTTCCCTACGGGCAGTGCATGAAAGCTAAGCTTTGTCCCGGGTGGTGCCCTCATGACCTCGCCGCCCTCTCGGTCGGGCAAACTCAAACGGATGCCTGCAAAAGCTTTCTCGAGATCCTCCAAGTCCCTGCGACTCCTCTACAGGTTAGCGACTTCTTGCAGAGCCTCCTCCTCCCTTTCCTCTTCCGGCGCTTCAGGGTCCTCGTCTATCTCTACTCGTCGCCGAGTCAACAGTTGTCTAAGCCTTTTAAGCAACCTAGGGCTGGCGTGCAGCATGGTCTGAAATGACACCGACACCATGGTCCCTAGCAATTTGCTAAGTGTGTCATCGACCTTTGGTATGGTTAAGATTGGGATCTGATACCTAAACTTCTTTTTGGCGGCGGTAACTTTGTCTGTAGGTTCCTCTTCCCTAGGCTTCCCATAGACTTTCTCTGGTCCCCGGCCTCAGGTTCTGCCTGGGGTACGAAACTCCCAGCAACCTTCTCCATCACGGTGTCACGGATAATCCTTCTCCCAGCCATCCCTAGCCGAGTAGTCGCGTTCACCCTATCGCGTCCGTCGCTTTCCAAAATGAAGTTGACCTGCGGCCCACGACCCCGCAGTTGTTCCCAGATGATATCGACCACCGGCTCAGCTTCTACGACCGCTATCTCTAGCCCATTGAGCATGATAATGGCTCGCCGCATTCCTTCTGGCGAGTTCCAATTCACCCGTTCTCCCTGCGGTCCGAATATCTGCCCCTTTAACGACCTGGTACATCTCCTTTTTAATATATCATGGTTGAGCTTTGGACATGCGCGTACATAATGTCCCATCGCGGTGCAGTACTTGCATTGCTCGCTAGCAGGATCTCTCCGTCCAAATCCGCGATTGGCTATACCCGGCGGAACTACGGCTTCCTGGGAAGGGAGGGGGGGTCGGGATACTTGCGCCTGCATAACCAATAGCGCGCTCTCCATCCTTTCAATCTTGTTGTCGACTCTGTGCACCCGTTCATGTAGACTTTCGATCTTCGTCTTTACCTTGTCGCCTGTTCTCCCGGTCAGGTCTATGACCTCCCCTTCCTTAAGCAAGGCCAATGTCTCGGTCACTACCGTCTTTTCGGCCAGATCTGTTACGATGCTAAAATCCACATCCCTAGTGTTTACGAACTTGCTCGTTTGCTGGTAGGCTGATAGAATCTTGTCTTTGTCGAACTCGGAGAACTGCCTAAGGAAGTATTTGCTCATTATTCGGTCCGTTACTTCCGGGATCCTTAGTGCTACCAGAGTAAACTCCTGTAGGAAGTCATTGTACGTTGAGAAGTTCTTCCTCTGGACTGTTGCTAAGTCGGCCTCCGTAGCCATCTTCTCCTCTGCTAGGTACTTTCTCATCATCACATTCTGGGTTTCCTTCCAGGATCGGCTTGCGGCTACGGTGGCCATTATGTCAGGTGGTCCATTTTTTTTTCTTCGGTCCATTTCAACAGCGCGGCTAGATTCTCGTAATCTATCAGGAATTCCGTGATGTTCGCCCCGTCAAACGTCAACTTTTTCTTAGCGTCCGCTAGGTAGCCTTGATTTTTGTTTAGTGCTCGCGAGAGGGACGACACTATCTTCCTAAGGCCGCCCTCGGAGCTACTGGCCTCGCCTGCCATACTGTTATTCGGACCTTCCTTGCCGGCCTTCTGTCCCTCCCTAGTCTTCGCAGTTCCCTCCGGGTCGAACCATCCCAACACTCTTTCCCTGAGGCTCCAAAGCCCTTCACATCCTCGTGTTACTGCTGGTGTGGTCGGCAGACGGCTAACCCTATTGTCTATGGTTGGCGGGTTCGTGGCTTTTTCTGCTTCCACCCCCAGGGAGTTCTCTCTCTCTTTCCTCCTTTTGCTCGGTGTTCCCCCACGGTCAGTACCTTTATCCCCTTGTCCAGTTCCGCCTCGGTTGGTTTTTCGTTCATCCCATGGTTCCTCCTGCAGAGGGCCTTCCTCGTTCCCAGTCATCATTTCCTCAATCAATCTTGCCTTGTACTTTGCGGTCCTCTTTTCTATCTCTGCTAGTTTGTGCCTCGCATCCGTGACCCTTACTTTCTTCGACACAGCTCCCTCTGAATTCCGAGGGCTTATCCTATCCTTATTCCTGCACTCCTTGGTTTCCTGAGTCCCTTACCTGCTTCCCCCGACTTTTCCCGAGCTTTCCCCTGAGGAGATTTCCTTCCGGTTCCCTTTCGTACCATCCGGATTTATCGACTCTCTGTCTTTCTGCCCTTCTTCGCTTTGTGCGGCACTGCTTCCTAAGCCTGGTCTTCCTTCGCCCTTATGGTTACTCGTCTCATCCTCCGTGGCCATTCTGCCTAGTTCTGCATAAACCAAAAGATTCCCCAGGACATACGCAACGCGAGGCATTTAGGTTCCCTTGGTTCCAACTTCGTCGGCTTTTCTTTATTCGGGAAATAGCCTTCTCCCTATTTCCGTTTCCTAATTGCTTCCCTAAAAAGGAGCCACGACTGACCCTGCTGCCCTGCCGAGCTACGGGCGTGACTTAGTTTCCCTTATCACAGGCTCGTTTAGAGCATCCGTGCCCCGTCGGGCCGGTGCGTAGGAGTCCGGGTTAGGCATCCCGCCGGGGATAGTTTCCCGAATAGTATTCCCCTTTTTTGACCTTCAGGGTCACGGCAACCATTAGGAGTCTACCCCCTCCCCCCTTTATTATTTAGCGGTTTTTTATTGTCCGGGTCCGAAGCCCTTCCTTATTTCCATCGGTGGATTTATACTTAATTTGCCCTATTAGCCCATCCCCGGAGGCTAGTCCCGTTCTCGCCCTCGTGGCCGTTTAGGTTCGGTAGGCTCCTCGAATAGTTGAGCCACCCCTGCTAAATAACTCTCTCCTATCTCAATCTCTCTCAGGATTATGTGCTCGTAATTCCGCCAGGCTAGTCGCGGCAACCCAAATATCAGAATATGGATGACTTCCAGTAACTCATGGGCCCTGTTTCCCCAGAACGGCCCATATTCCACAGAAACATCATAGAACATCCAGATGGTCTGAAAGGGGAAGTGGTCTACCCAGACTGTCGCTGAGTCTGCCAGTGCTTGTGCCCTTGTGAGGCTCCCGAAAATGAGGTCTATCAGAAATCGGGGGACTCGACACCTCAACGGTGTGGTTGGTGCCCTGAACTCCCTCCAACCCCCCATTTCCACCTTGGTAAGCAAATCCACGTTTCTTCTACCCCTGACCGATTGTCCTATCCGCGTCAATGCCCGGGCCGCCCTCCGAAAAATTGGAGCCAACTCGTGGCCTTGCGCTATCCTCATCCCCAATAAGTGTCAGCCAACCTCGGGTAGGTATAGGACCCCGGTTACCTCTAAATTGGTGAACAAATCGTCCCCAGACCGACATTCCACCAACATGAAGGCCCGCCATTCCGCGTCGAACCCTCGAAAGTTGGAATTCGACGGGAGGGATACTTCCCATCGCCCGCCGTTATTCCAGGGTGGTCCGGGGTACAGGGGCTGACGTTCCATTCGCACACGGGGCTGGCGTTCCATTCGCACACGTTTTGGTGCCATTGTTGCCTTGGTGATTCCCTGGATAGTCCACATAGAGAGGGTTACAGCCAATCCTTAGTAAACGTCCACCTACTGCCCCCTTACCCTTCATGTTTTCATTCTTCTTCTCTGATCCCAACTATCCCTCCATATCCCCAGGAGCAGCAACCCCCTCCAGTTGTTCGTACAACCAGTAAAGGTCGTCTATGTAGGTCGCGCCCCGACCTACTTCCCGCCCGATGACTCTCCACATAGCCTCATCACTTATTTGCGGAACTCCTGGCCTAGTATTTACTGCCGCTCGTAATATACAAAGCACCTCGTGCCCCTGCTCGTCTTCAAAAGGCCCCATCTATAGGAAGGCGCGATAGTATTCCTGATACATTAATGCTTCATCAAAATCCAGCCTAGTTATGGCAGCTACCGCCTGCTCCACTCGCTTTACGCCTCCCAGTCGTCTTAGTAGAAAGGGTGGCAGACTCGTTCATACGACCTCATTGGCAACTCAAAGACCCCTGCTGCGGCGACTTTTACCTCAGCCGTCACGTCATCTCGTTCCGGATCTGCAAACTCAAACCCCTCCCGCCAGGTTATTTGTCATGCTCCTTCGAACATTCGCACTGGGTCGTCCCCGGATGCCAAGGCAATCCCAAAAGTTCGTCATCCTTCTTCCGACAGGTGTAGGGATCCCGTTGCATGCACGCGCTCTGGGAGTTCCAAATTTATGCCCCCGAACTCTCCTCTCGCACGCCATTCCAGCTCTACTACTAGGTACACCGTGCCTTCCACCAATTCTACCCCCCACCCGGTCCATTACCGGGTTACTTACCACGTTTCTTGCTGGCAGGCTCATTTCGACCCTTCCCCCTAACGCTCTTGGTGGTAGCATCCCGCGAGGCCTATCCTCCCAAAATGTCATTCGCCGGGCCATCTTGCAATGTCTCCTTTCCTGCTTCCTTAGTCCGATTGCTGGACCCACCGAGATTTCATGCCTTTCGTGCTTTAGTCTCTCAACACCCCCTACTTATCGTACACTGGTTCTTGCTGCTATCTCTGCCCATATACGTACAAATCTTCTCCCCCCCCTTGGTGTTGCTACCTTACTTGTTTCGGCCCCCTCGCATCCCCTGCTAACTAATGTACACGTCCCCTTTTCTTACACTACATCTCGATTCACCTGCACCCTCCATACTCCGACCTTCCCGCGGTGTTTCGGTTTTTGGGTCACTCTAATCGAACCACAATACCTCAAACAGCGTAAAGACATCGTCCACATAGGATGGCGAGGCCGCCGCCTCCCGGCTAACTATGGCGTCCCAAGCCTCTGCGTCTACCTCTAGACGATCGTACTTACCTATCCTCAGGACGATGATGACTTCACTGGCTTTATCGCCGTAGAAGGGCCCATATTTTAAGGACATCCTATAGAATTTATCGGTCAACCAGGCACATTCTATGAGCAGTTCCCTCATGGAGTCGGCCGCGTCTGCTATATGCTCGAATCCCCCGAACCAGTTGGCCACGAACTCAGGAAACCACGTTATTGTGCACAGGCAGGGAGGCTTGAGTTCCCTCCATCCTCCCATCACAACTCAGCTACTAACTTCGTCCCACCCCTCGTTGGCGAACCTTTTGCCTTCCTTTTGGGTTCGTGCCTCTACATCCCCTAGAAGCCACATTGGATCCTGTTCAATTGCTAAAGTAGTGCAAAATAGGTGCCACCCATCTTCGGAAAGGACAATCATTCCGACCGACTCCACTTTGCCCTCTACTATCTCGTCCCAACCTTCCTCTTCCCTTATTGGGTTCCAAATCCGTTCTATCCATACATATGATAATTCTCGGGCAACCTCAAACCCAACCCAGTCGCACGTGGTCCCCCTCCACTCGTTTTCCGTTGGTATAGGCATTTTTATCCCTCCTCTGAGTCGTCTTGGTTCCCATCCCTTAAAGGTGTATTCCATCATCCTTTCCTCTCGATTCATCTTTCCCCTTCCTGCACAATACCAGGCCACCCGTCCTTCCTAAGTTAAGTCACCCCACCCCTCTTAGAAGTCCCAGTCCTCTATCTCATCATCTTCGTCTTCATCACTGAAGTCGTCCTCTTCGTTATAGAACAACTCTTTCACCCCTTCCAGAAATGTCTCCCTATTGCCACATTTCTATAGACTATCCCCCAATGCACGGAGCTAGAGACAAAGACATCGTCCACTCTAAGGCAGTTTAGTATCTCGGCCAACTCGTCCGCCCAGTTCCCCTCAAAAGGCCTTATTTCCACCGACAACCGGAGGAAGTCTTGCCTAGCGCACAGGTATAGTCCGAGGTTCGTCATGGACCGACATATCTGTACTAACCTGCTCCGGGTTCCGAAAACTGCGTCCACCAGGAAGGGAGGCAGCACGCATCGCATGGTTCTGATGGGTCGCCTTATGCTCCCTCTATCCCGAAGTTCCACCCGCATATCTACCCTTTCCATTTCCATTTCCCTCCGCTGACACGCAGCCCATACAACCTCCGCTTCAGCCTTCCTAAACAACTCGTCCGGCGTATTCCCGAGTGCCAACTCTATGACCATAGCATTTTCCCCACCTTGCGACAAGTAGACCCAGCCCCGGGCTTCCATTGTCCTTCGGAATTCGAAATCCATTGAACTCGGCGACAACCTCGTCAAGCTGACATGAGTCCATACTGTCTCTATCCAAAGAAAAGCGTCCTCCCCTTCCAGCATTGTTGTTTGATACGCTGGTTCAAGGTCCGTCCACGCTCCATTTACCGGGAGGACGACCGGTACCCCATCCTTTACATCTACTGGCATTTCCTGGCCGCTGGTATAGATCGGGGAAGGCAACCATCGCGCCATCTTGTTTCAGCACCCGACCCCTGTTTTCATGAAAGAGTACCAACCGGTCCTTCTGGTCAGGTCAACCCTTGTTCTAGATGAGAATTATT